AGTTTGAATATTGGGCAAATTTTAGGTTGATTTGCCATTTGTCCATTTTTTTTTTGATTTCAACTAGCATCAATCAGCCGTCAATCAAATATAATGATTTTTTGCTGAATTTTTATCAAATTGTCTGATTGGCATCAATCAGATGTGCCGATTTATAATGTTAGTCAATTTTGGTCTGATTTTTGGCCGATTTTCCATATGTCCGATTTTTTTAATTTTGACCAGTGGATATATATATATAATATATAATTATTCTTACCATTTCTTTAAAAAATGTTGACATTTTTTTAACTAATATTATTGTAAAAGATATACATAAAAGTATACCAAGAAAACTAAATGTCAAAGTACCTTTCAAAATATCACTGGAATTATGTATAATTTTCACTTCCATCTTTTCTGCATGATGATTATGATTAGGATAAAAATAAGATCAAAATGGTAATTTTCCTTATTTATACTGGATTTTCAATGACCTTTATCAATAGGAAAGTATTATATTCATTTAGAATTAATATGGCTGATCCTATGAATGATTATATTTATATTAACATTAAAGAAAAGTGCAAGCAAAGATGTCACACTCACATTTTAAGGATATATGTATTAAAGGAATGTCATTTCTAATTGCAAATAAAGTAGATCTCACACATTTTATGGAAATGATATCTTTTATTTAAATTTTGATGAAGAGTTTATGAATTTAAGGAGACATTCAAGTAAAAGATTGCCAATAGTGATAAGCATCTAGCAGATTGGATTATGGAAGGACTATGTGGTGTAGAATATGATAGTATTGATTTTAAGCAATACTAATATAAAATAAAAAATTTAATTAACTTAATTCTTTAAAGATAATTCTTTAAATATATTAAAGTATTTTGGCCTCAACATGCATTCAACAATAATGAAAAAAGTTTTCCTTTTGTTATGATATATTATGGACTAAAGGTGGGAAATTAAAAAAGTGAGTTATTATAAGATTATTTATAATTTATTTGTCTGCTTAAATTCACTTGTAAACTAATATATTTTAATTATTTTTTATTTAATAGCAACAATGATGAAGTTATCAGTGAATTCTTCATAATTATTATTTATTTATTTTAATTCTTGTATTTTTTACTGAATATTTGAATAACTTTCCTTAATTGTTAAGAAAAGTTATATTATAAAATTGTAAATATCAATGGAAAATATTTATATGGTAAAGGATTTATGAATATCATGCAATTCAGAAGAAGAAATAAGTGACTATAAAATTAGGAAATTGTAAGCATACCATACTTTTTTATATATATTTATACTGGAAATTAAAAATGAACATATTACTGATAAATAGAAAAAAGTAATTTTATCATTGATTATATTGTATGGACACATTTCTTAAGTACTATGGTAAAGAATTTAAAGAATCATAATGATTTATTGTTAAAGGCAATAAGACCAAGGCCTGAGCAATTTGCTTTGCAAGTAAAATATGTATTTGAATTCAGAGTGGTATTGTTAATTCATATAGCACAATGTCATGATTGTACTTTTAAATTGATGGAATCAGGAGTTTTTGAGTACTTGGATGAACTAACATTTCTAGATAAAAGACCAAAATTTAACAAAACAGCAAATAATTCTGATGATAACCCTGATATCAACAGCTTTTAATCATTATACTACATCTTATCATCTTATTGCTTGTATCCTTAATCCTTATGAGCATAGGACATGAAAGTGGACCTGCTTTAATAAAAGTATCAAGATTCGTAAGTAGACATCAAGGATTGATATTAAAAATATTGACAGATATTTCTCCAGTCAATTTATTAGTTTCACCAAATGTAGAAGTTAAAGATAACGTTATATTAAGTATTGGAATTGTTCACAAAATGTTTCGTATATTTTACTTCTTGGGTGTTAAGCTAGAAGTTATTGATAAAGTACGTTGAGAGATACATCAATGGACATTTCAAGAAATTTTAAAAGAATTAATGATATGATTTTTTTTGGTGCGAGAAAATTTGGTGACAATAATAACAGGAAATGAAGCTGACATAAAATATGCGTAAGAACAAATTGAAAATATTAATAGGAATTTTTTGAGTGGTGCTAAATAGTAACTGTGAGCACAAAAGGTATTCAAGATTTTAGACTGATTTTTACAGCGATCCTTAAATATGTCAAAAGGCCTGATAATGATTATTGTGGTGATTTTAAGAAACCCAAACTTTCAATATGCATAAATTATGTTCATACTTCTATAGATATTTTAAATCATCATATGCAAAATTTTAGGAGAATATCTATCAAACTTGAAAAAGGTGATAACATTGAAGAGATTCTATCTGGGCTTCGTAATAAAGATGTTGATAATTTGGGCGCTTTACAATAGAAAGGGATGAAACTACTAAAAAAAATAAAAAATGAGTTAATATAAAATCTTGACAAATTATAGCATTTGGAATATTTTTGGCATATAAAAGATAATTTGAATTTTTTTAGTAATTTTGTTCCTTTCTACTGCAAAGTGCCCATTTAAATAATTTATAACGAAAGAGTTTAGCATTACGTACTTTACAGTAACAGCTTAGTAAAACATTGAAGTGTATTATACAACATTTATATGACGTAGAGATTTCTTTACTTTTAATATGGTGGCATCTTAACCATTATATGATGACAAAATTTATTTGAGGAATCTCTACAACATTGCTTGGAAATACTGATAAAACAGCTTTACAAAAAGACACAAAATTAGTCTTGACAGATATATTAGAAAAATTAGTATCTTTTGAGAAGAATACTGCCATAAAATATAAAATGCTAAATGAATATATTCAAATGATACTTCACAAGATAAAAGTACTTATTGCTTGATCTTACTAATAAGTAACGTAATACTGTATTACTAATTGTACTGTATGTTATTGTACATCAGTAAGTTTTTTAGTATTAGGATCCTCAAAGAATCCTAAAATCCATAACATAAGAAAGATCCTCAAAGAATCATCCCTTCCATATCCTCTAAGGGTTCCTTATTGAAAAAAAAATTAAGAAATCCCTAAAGGTTAAAAAGAATCCTTAGAGATATTATTTAAAAAACCTTTAAGGGTATCGTTTAAAAGAAACTTTAGGGACATTATTTAAGTAAACCTTAAGGATATTATTTAATTATTTAATTTTTTATTAATTATTTATTATTTTAAAATTTATACAATTTTTACTCCTAATTTAACTATCTAATTCTTGGTTATCATGATTATAATTATTTTCTAATTCTTGATTATCTTCCAATTCTTGATTATTCTCCAATTCTTAATCATAATTACTCTCATTATCACTGCTATTGTTGCTACTAGTATCACTATCATTTTCTTTACATAGTTCCATAAGTCTAATTTGTTTAGTAGTATTTGCGGTTATTTCCTTTGAATTAGAAAGACAATCCTAAAAAAATTTATTAATAAATATTTTTTAACTAATTAAATAATTAATATAATACATATTGAATACCAAATAAATATTATATCTATTTCGCAAAGAATTACAGTCAACTCTCTTTATAGTCACACATTTGGGACAGTCCATATTTGGTGATTATAAAGAGATGTGACTATATAAAAAATTTCTTATATTAGTATATCATAATTCCGGCCAAAAATTAACATAATTTTAGCTAAAATTATATTTAAAACTTTATTGTATCGTAACTCCTCCAATATTAATCGTAGAGAGATGATCTTACTGCCATTCGATTCGTCTTGATGAGACGGTGCTAATGGTATAAAATACATCGAAATCCAATCACTAGATTAATTTCTGAAATTAAAAAAATATTAAATAGTTTTTAAGTAGTACCTCCGTCAATATTGACCACAGAGAGTTGAGCTTACAACCATTCGATTCGTCTTGATGAGGCGATTCTAACGAGCTATTAATCGTCTTTTTAAAATCACTAGGTACTGAGATATTTAGCAAAATGTTAAATGGTGCAGTAAACGTAAATCAAGAAATATAATAAAGCTGATGCTTAACATTTTGTTGAATAACTCATCAGCCAGTGATCGTAAAAGAATAAAACTACCACCATTCGATTCGTCTCAGTGAGACAATTCTAACAAGCTATGGTACATCTTTATACGATTATTAGATGCCAAGTTATTTAATATATTTTTTATATAACTGTGATTATAAACGGTTCTTTTTAATATAAGTTTTTTGAAGATAGGTGTGATAGTGACTATAGATATATTGTGACTATATCTGATATAGGATAGATTTTAACAATAAAGTGTTTTGAACATTTCAACTGGTGTGACTATATAGTAGAATGTGACTATAATGGGAGTGACTATAGAGGGAATTGACTGTATTACCAATAGATATTTTCAGATGTTTCAGATTTAACACAGTTTCACATACAGCTAGGGTAAAAGCTGTATCCTTTTCACTTGTTTTCTTTTTACCCATGCCTTATTCTTTATTGCTTGAATATATAAAAGGTTTCCCTCTTCATCAGTTTTAAATAAGCATTCAAATATTTTTTTGATTTTATGTGATTGTTTAAATGAACAAATATCATCAGCTGATGCAGTACAGCAGTAGTATTTATACGAACTAGCCAATCTTTACCAAATATGTCAAACATGGTGGTACAGATATCTTTGGCTTTATCACAACGCTGACTTTTAATTATATCATTACACTAAATATAGAAATTTTATATTAATAGTTATTATTTAGTATTACTAATTTACTATTAATAAAACAAATAAATCCATAATTACCAAAGGTTTAATTCGTCCTTCATAAATATGCATCCATTGAGGTCCATGCTTTTCAATATATCCAGGTTTTTCTTGTTCAAGCATAGGCTCAAATGCTTTTTGAAATGCAATACCGTCTGGATAAATCCCAAGAATGGGTAATTGAATTATACAAAGTTTTTGACGCTAAATTCTAAATACATAAAAATAAGTAGTCGATAAATTTAATAAAAAAGCAATTACAAATTATACACACCTTTCAATAACAGTTTTCAGGAATCATTAATTGGTCAACTTTTTCCAATAGTTCATTTAATTGTTCATGAGTTTTCTTATAAAATTCCTTTTGCTTGTTTTTAACATCATAAATTACTTGAAATATTTCTTTATTTTAAGTTAAACAGTTTTTTAAACCTTCCATAAGATGATAATAAGATGTGTCTATCATAAATCAAAATTAAAATGTATATTTTGATTATGCTTAAATAACTTATGATAATGACAAATAACACATCTTACCATTAGTCTTATTTGATATTTGTCTTACATTAATAGCAGTATTACATTGTTCTGTTTGATCTGCATCAACAATAACAATGGATTCAAGCGTAATGAGATTTTTTTCGTTCACTTTGTGACTTTTTTTTATAATAAACTAGTGTTCATCCATTGTTTACGATAACAGTTAATATGTATTAAAATGGCATAATTCCGGCCAGAATTAAAAAATCTGCAAAGAATTTCCTTTTTTGGAAATTTAAGCAACACAATTTTTTTAATTTCTCTAAAAGTAACAGAAGATAAAATTTCCTTTTTTTTGGAAATTTGCGTAACTGTTAATTTCCTTTTATGGTGGTAAGCTATAGCAGGGTGTAATGTGGCGCCTCAAAAAATTTCCAGAGATCCTGAGATTTCCCGAGCTAAAGCGGAAAATCTATAGTGCTGGTGGCATAAAGCTACATAGTCCTTCGTGGCGTAGTAGCTCATGCTAGTACTCGCCACTCCCACGAAAGACCTTGTAAACTCAGCCACAGCTTATAATAGATTTTCTGCAGAGCCACTCAGAGAATCCCAGGAATCTAAAAATTTTTAGTGGCGCCACTAGACTTCACTCCCACTCTAGCATACTTCTTTTATGGAATTCTGTGTAACCAAAAATTTCAGTTTTTTGCCATAATTTATTTAAACTTTTTTTTTACTTTAATCCTATTTCTTTTTTGAAATTTTTTTATATATATATCACGGCAAGTAAGGTTTTTTTACTTCTTTAACATGTAAATTATTTTCGTGTTAATTCACTAAATCTCAAAAAGACAAAATAAAACTTTTTAATATTTCGCTCTTCGGTGATATAAGACATCATTATGACTAAGAAAAAAGGCAAGTAATACGTTCAACTAGGGCTCCGATCGATTTCAGTAACTACCAAACTGTACCGATCGGTTTCAGTATTAGAACGGTTTCGGTATTCTGATTTACCGAACCGAACCTTTCGGTAAATTTACCGATCGGTTTCAGTAATTTCAGTTTTGGTATCAGTTTTGCGATTTACTGAACCGATTTACTGAACTAAAACTTTTGGTAAGTTTCGGTAAATTTTACCGATCAGTTTGGTAGATTTTACCGTTCAGTTCAGTAGATTTTACCGTTCAGTTCGGTAAATTTTACTGATCAGTTCGGTAGATTTTACCGTTCAGTTTCGGTAAATGTTTTGGTTAAAAAATGCCGCACTTGACGTTTTTTAACTAATTTATTAAAAAAACGTCAAAGTGCAACGTTTTTAATAAAAAATTTTTTTTTATTTTTTAGTTTAAAAACGTCGCACTTGACGTTTTTTTAACTAAGTTAATTTATTTTTATTAAAAAAACGTCAAAGTGCGACGTTTTTAATAAAAAATTATTTTTTTTTATTTTTTAGTTTAAAAACGTTAAAGTGCGACGTTTTTTAACTATGTTTAATTTATTTTTTATTAAAAAGACGTCAAAATGCGGCATTTTTAATAAAAAAAATATTTTTTTTTTGATTTTAGTTTAAAAAACGTCGCACTTGACGTTTTTTAACTAATTTAATTTATTTTTATTAAAAAACGTCAAAGTGCGATGTTTTTAATAAAAAAATTTTTTTTTTATTTTTTAGTTTAAAACGTCGCACTTGACGTTTTTTAACTAAGTTAATTTATTTTTTATTAAAAAAATGTCAGAATGCGGCGTTTTTAATAAAAAATATATAATTTTTTTGATTTTAGTTTAAAAACATTGCACTTGACGTTTTTTAACTAATTTAATTTATTTTTTATTAAAAAACGTCAAAATGCGACGTTTTTAATAAAAAAATACAATTTTTTTTTTATTTTTTAGTTTAAAAACGTCGCACTTGACATTTTATAACTAATGTAATTTATTTTTTATTAAAAAATGTTGCACTTGACGTTTTTTTAATCTAATTTAATTTATTTTTTATTAAAAAACGTTAAAGCGCGACGTTTTTAATAAAAAAATACAATTTTTTTTTGATTTTTTAGTTTAAAAACGTCGCACTTGGTGTTTTTTAACTTATTAAAAAAATGTCAAAGTGCGACGTTTTTAATAAAAAATACATTTTTTTTTTAATTTTTTAGTTTAAAAACGTCGCACTTAGCGTTTTTTAACTAATTAATTTTTTTTCTTATTAAAAAACGTCAAAGTACGACATTTTTTCTTTTCTTTTAACAATATTATCAAGAACTCTTCTCGCCACAAATCACATGATTGCAAAATCGNTATTAAAAAACGTCAAAGTACGACATTTTTTCTTTTCTTTTAACAATATTATCAAGAACTCTTCTCGCCACAAATCACATGATTGCAAAATCGCGCAATCTGCAATATTACGGAATTGAGTATTTCTGATTTAATTACCAAATTTTTGCAGATCGATCTTATCAATTTTAATCTTTTTTTACATTTTTTTCATTTTTTTCATTTTTTTTTATTTCTAATATTAATTATATACTAATTTCTCTATAATAATAATAATAACTAATTACAATAATGACTTCTGAGTTCGAAGAAAACGACATTGAGGAAACAGCCGAGGAAGAGGCTGAGGAAGAGGCTGAGTATGAGACTGAGGAAGAAGCTGCTGAGGAAGAGGTTGAGGAAGAGGC